CCTGATCTGATTGTCTCCCGTCCATCTCTTCGGCATTTTTCCATGTCCCATTACTCTTCAATGCCAGCCCCACTGGCCCCCTTCCTCTTCCTTGAAGGTTCCAAACTCCTTCAGACCTTAGGTCTTGGTGCAATGGGTTCCTGTAACAGGAGTGTCTTTCCCCAGGCTCTTGCAACTTTCAGATAGCAGCTCAAATACTCCCTTTTCCGAAAGGCTTTCTCTACTGTTCTTTCTAGATAGCTGCCATTTAATTCCTGATTCCGTGGAGCTCTCGGTCATTGCAATCTGCAATATCTTGTGCACCCTTTTATTTTCTTCAGGACACGTATCACTTTCTTCTTTCTTCCCTCCTACTTTCTCCCTTCCTTCCTCCCTCCCTCCCTGTCTCCTTCCCTCTCTTTCTTTTTATCTGTCCTCATCAGACTGTAAACTCCACAAAGGTAAGAACCATCCCTACCAGTGTCTACCAGTGTTTCCTCGGTGTCTAAACAGTGCCTGTTACATAGTATAATCTCAATGATATTTGTGGAATAAGTGAAGGCATTACCTTCTTTGCAATGAGCCATTATTTGTGTGGAAGCTATGGGCTTGCTCAGGACGTGAGCTTTCTCCTAAGGGGATGAGGCATCTTCATGTCCAAGCTGGGACTCTTATGACTGCTTCATTTTCCCTCTGGTATCAAGGTATGGGACACCTGGGGTATTCGCTATCACCTTCTCAAGGTATGACTTAGGGACTGAGGAACTATCTGAAGTTTTTTTTTTTTTTTATGTATTTTTTTTTAAATTGAAGTGTTGGGCAAATGTTTGGAAAAGACCATTCTGCGGGCGCCTGGGTGGCTCAGATGGTTAAGCGTCTGCCTTCGGCTCAGGTCATGATCCCGGGGTCCTGGGATCGAGTCCCGCATCGGGCTCCCTGCTGGGTGGGGAGCCTGCTTCTCCCTCTGCCTCTGCCTCTCTCTCTCTCTCTCTCTGACTCTCATGAATAAATAAATAAAACATTAAAAAAAAAAAAAAAGACCATTCTGAGGTCTGTGTAGTGTATGGATTAGTGAACTCCAGAGTGCCAATTGTGAGGAGGCTATTAGTGTGATCGAGGTACATGCCGATCAGGGTCTGAGCAACCATGAAGATGAACAGGAGGGAGCAGAAGTCATGGGACTTGGACACCTAGGGCATCTAGGACACAGAATATGACGTGGCAAGTCCTTGCTGTCCTTGCTCAACCCAGAGAGAGTGTCTCTCTAAATTTTGCTCCCTAGGCACTTTGCTGGCCTCATCCTTCTCCTGGCCCTGCTTCTGGGGGGAGGTGTTGGGGAGGGAGGCCAGGGCATCCCAAGGCTCCCAGCATGGGAGGCCGGGGATAGGGATGTTGAAGTGTAAGCCGCTCTACTGGGAGTAGAAAATGTTGAAGAGGAGATTCATGTCTGAGGGGGGAATGGAGGTTGGACTCAGCACCCCCGTCTTTGTGTCTACAAAGGTTCAAGGCCACAGTGAAACAAACACAGTAGGACGCCTGTTTCCACTGGGCATATTTATCCTTCTACAGAGAGCCTTTCTCCAGAACTTGGCCTACACTACCTCCCCCAGATCTTTATCAGGGCTATTTTGGGGCTCAGGACTAATCCTAGATCTACTCCACGACTGGAAAAGTGCACGTGTTCTTCCCTTCTGCTCCCCACTCAGAGGCACGGGGTGGGCTTTCGTGTAGAACAGCAGGCCCAGGACATTGGGAAGCAGTAGAATGAGGACGAGTCAAAGTCTCCCCATCTGTCCACAGACAGTAGGCAGTGTGGCTCCCTGGAAAGCACTGAGCAGAGCTGGGTTTGAATCTGGATTTTTTGGTTTCACCACTTGTTATCTGACTAACACTGAGTAGGTTCCTTCAGGTTCCTCACCGCAAAGTGGGGAATGGTGCCCACCTTGTGGGATTGGTATGAGGATGAAATAAGATCCTGCTTGCGAAGTGCTGGACCCGTGGTGACACCCGTCAACTATGCTTTCCTCCTAATGTGGATTTGTAAATGTCATAATAGGAGGGGAACTTGGGGTTCTTTAGGTATTGTCCTTCTATTTATTTTTCCTTTGGATCTTAAGTACGTAGAATTGTACCTATCATCATTCTTGCTTCATCACACCCTTATCATTGATTCATTAATGACCCTCATTTATTAATCTACTTATCCATTCATCCATCCATCCATCCATCCATCTTCCCTCCCTCCCTCCCTTCTTTCCTTCCAATAACCTGCCTGTCTTCTACCTATCTATTGACATACCTATTTATCAATCTTCTATTGTTTTTCTATTTTTAATTTATAATGATATAAACATTCATGAAGCCACCACCCAGCATGGAAGCTAGAATCCTGATATTAACTTCCATCTACCTATACATACCCACCCTTTTCATCCTTTTCCCTGCCCCCACCTCAGATAACTACTATTTAAAATCTTGAGTTCATCCTTTTGGAAAAAATATGGGTGTATCATTTTTATATGTATCCCTAAAAACCATTTGTTAGATGTTTTTAGCTTTATAAACATAGTATCATGCTGTATGAAATCTTTTGGGGCGTACTCACTCCTAATATTTTTTTGCTAAGATTTACCCATATTATTGTGTATAGCTATAGTTCATTCATTTTTATTGCTGTATAACATTCCATTCTGGGATTGTACTACATTATTTGCCTGTCATCCTGTGGATGTGCATTTGGATGGTTCTCTCAGGTTTTTCTAATTTGAAACCATGATACCATGTATATACTTGAATATTCATCTTCTGGAGCACAGGTGAAGACTTTCTTTAGGGTATGTATATAACTCAAAGGCGGAAATAGCAGGTTATCGAGAATGCAAATGTCCAAGTTCAAATTTTCCAAACTGTTTTCCAAAGTAGTTGTGCCGATTTACATACGTATCAGCAACATAAGAAGGAGCCAGTTGCTTCTTTATTTTTTTCTCCTGGAATAGGGAGAAAATGGTTTTGCTTTGGCTTTTCCTGATTACTAATGAGATTGGACATCTCTTCATATGTTTATTGGCCATAAATGTTTCTTTTAATCCCATTTTAATGATGGAGCTGTAAAGATTTCATGCCAGTTTGGGTGCCCACCATGGGCTTTCCTCGAGGAGTCGGGGAGGGGCCTTCAGAATTGCAGGTTTGTGTTTCTCCCTGGGTAGGAGCTTGTTTTGCCTCTGCTGGGTTTCTTGCTCAGGGTCATGAACTTCACGCCCAGAATCCCCGGAGAAGCTTCTTTCCTTCATAGGATGTGAGAGCCTCCCTCTCACTCCTGACCCTCCCGGTCCAGGCTCTCACTTTCTCTGGGGCCTGCAGGAGACAGCAAGGGACAGCCAGCGCAGGACAGGTCTCAGAAGGCTGGTGAGGCAGGAGAAGCTTTGGTAGTGGTTGCAGACTTCATGGCCAGTGCCTCTCCTGGATCAGTCCTCCTAAATAAAACAGGAGGGGACTGAGGGCCCTGTGTTCCTGAGGAGGGCCTTGCGGCACCTGTGACCTGCAGGGGAAGCAGGGAGCTGGGGCAAAGCCCTTGTTCGCAGACTTCTCCTCACAGACCACCTCAGGAGTGTTGTCTCCATATCAACTCTCCCTCCTTCAATGCTTCTCCTGCCCGGAGCAGGGGAGCCTGCATCTCTGTGCACCTTCAGACTGGAGCTGTGAGGGGCAGAGGGGAAGGTTGAAGGGATTGGGGTGTGGCTCTTATAGGGACACTCTGGATTCCACATGCCTTCAAGGTCAGTGTGAAATGGGAGTGCTGATGGGGCACCTGGGTGGCT